ATACCATTTTGATTCAAATAACTTAACCTCAATCAATCAGTACGGTTTTTAATCCCCTTGCTCAATGGCTGACTTGCTAACTGTTGCAAATGAAACATTTTATCATGCATTAGATGAAGGTGAGGCTAGAGCTATTGCTCTTGAAATATCTAATGCTTTTGACAAAGTTTAGCATGCTGTTTTTCTCCATAAGCTTACTTCATATAGTGCATCTGGGAAAGATTTTGAGATTATTAAATCATTTTTTGGGTATCTCAAGGAATTTTGGTCCTGTTTTGTTTCTTATCTACATTTTTGATCTTCTGGACAACCTAACATCTCAAGTAGCTCTTATTGCTGATGACTCAACTTTATACTTGTGTCTTGACAAAAAGTCTTCTCTTTACAATCGCTTAGAACAGGCGGCCAATCTTCACTTTTGTAACAGATTGGGGTTCACAATGGCTTGTAAATTTTAACTCCAACAAAACTCAGTTACTTATTGCAAACAATTATCGCAATACTGTCAACATTCCTATAATTATAAATGGCAACCCTCTCACAATTAATTGCTAAATTAGCATATGCTAAGGCTGCTTTTCTTATTCTGTGGAATGTGTAAAGAAAGATGTAACAAATAATATGTTTTCTGAAAATAATATTGTTTTCTGATGAAACATTAAAAGAATGTCAATCAATTTGAAAGTTATTTGGATAAACTGGGACAAAAACATTTTCTCAAATTCATGGATATTTTACATAGTTAATATATTGCCAATCGCAGAGATTGTCATTAATATTTCCTGTTAATTAATTATTAACAGGAGACATTAAAAAATTTTTACCTCTGAATATCAAAGATTTGCACATTAGAGTGTTTATACATTGACTGAAAGTTTTAGTTTAAACAGATAAGGTTTGTTATATTATTTTTGTTTACTACTATTTATCTAATATAAATTGAAAAATTGTGGCCAAGCTAGTAATTGACCACTTCAATGTTTTATTTTTACTGCTGTTGAAATATTCCTTGCTAACAGATAAGTAGGTCTAATGAAATTGGAAGAACATAAGAAAAAAAATTTTATCTAATTATTTTTGTCAACTAACAATGTTGATATAACTAACTATAACAATAGAGTAGACATTCATTACTTTTTATTCTTGCTATTAACTCAGCCTTTTTTATATTTCTAAAACTAAAAGCTATATTTTTGGATATGAGTGAATTACTTTCTACCTATAACTGAAATAAGGTTTGAATAATAATAAACACACACATGTTGAAGTAACTTGTTCCAGTAAAATGTTGCAGTAACTTGTTCAAGAAATTGTTGCTATAATATCTTCTTTTAACTTTAACATGTTAATTTTAATGTATTTAATAATGTGTTCATGTAATTTAAAATACTGCATGGAATTTTTCATAAATTTTGAAAAAATGTATGAAAAAATTTTTTCATAAATTTTTTCAAAAATGAAAAATTTAGCAATACTGCTAAATTTTTTTGATTATTTTTTGCAAAACCTCAAACTTTGTTTCTTTTGGAATTGTAAAAAAATTCTACCTTAGGAGCATTAAACTTTTAAGTTTGCACCGGGTTTCATCATCTATTATAATGCACTTATGATTTTCTTGAAGCTTTAAGTGAAGCAGTTTTGACCACATTTTTGACCTTGGTTGAATTGCTGTTGGAATCTTTTAGGACAATTCTTTAGTTTAGAGGGATCAATGCTAATGTTTTCTACTTATCTACAACCTTTACTTCACAATTTGATTATAAAAGTGACAATTTTCCTCCGAATTTCTGATATTTTTATTAGCAAATTATATAGAATATTACAAACTTTTTTTTTTCCACTTGTCAAAACTCATCAAAAATAAATTTTCTCAAGCCTACTTGCTTTTACTTTGTTTACAATTAACTTTTTTATTATTATATTATTTAAAAGGGAAATAAATTTGCTTTAAAACAGCTACATATATATATATATATATATATATATATATATATATATATATATATATATATATATATATATATATATATATATATATATATATATATTTATATATATATATATATATATATATATATATATATATATATATATATATATATATATATATATATATATATATATATATATATATATATAAAGTAAACCTGTATTACATTGTTACCAGTCAATGATAATAAATATTGGATATTCTTGACTCAAATCATAGATTTTCGTTAGTAACACCTTGGAAATGACTATGCAATTCATTTTGCTACCTCCTAATAAGAGTACAGTTCTAAAACTCCGTTTAATGGTTCTGAGTTTGGCTGGTAGTAACATTTCCATTAACAAAGAAGCTCTAAGAAAAGCTTATTCAATTAAAAGCTATAGAATATCAAAGTATTAAAAGTACCATACTGTGCACCTATATTTTGCTCAGTTAGTATTTTTAGTATCAAGCTATTGGGTCATTTAATAGGACTGCAACAACACATTTCATTGCCTAGGTTGACAAGCATCTATAATTGGGTCAAGTCAATTTCATAACTTTCATAATTTTAAATTATTAAAAATAAAAAATCATTATAACTGCCAAACTGTTTCAAACTTTACAAATATTAGTCTTCGAAAAAACCTTTACCTGTGGAATCTTACCTCTTTTACTTCAAAAAAAAATTAATTTTACAAATACTTGTTGAACTTCTTGCAAAACACACTATGATTTGCATTTGCAAATCATAGTGCTGCATGTCTTCAAAAAAACATTCACCTGTTGAATCCTACCTTTTGTGAAATGTACCATAGTTTGCAAAGAATCAAACTTAATAAAACTTTTGTTGATCAAAAACTGCATAAATTCAATTATTTATTCAAACCCCAAATTTCACAATTTATTTATGTGCTTTTATTTACCGCATTTCAACTCAACCATCTTTCTCTATGTTTTTATTGCCTCCCCCCCCCCCTATTTTTCATTGAGTCCTGAGCCCTTTATCTTTATTTATCCGAACATATTGTTGCTATTAGTTACTTTAATGTTCATCACACTGAATGGCAAAACTGGGACAAAAGGGACGAAGGGTAAATGGGAAACTGAGACAAAGGGTAAATGGAAAAACTAATTTGAAAAACTTTCTTCATAATGATTTTTGGGCTGATGTCTTTAATTACTAATAGTAAGTATTAAATTCATCTTTGATGAATAACAATCTCCTTTATTTCCAGTAAATTTTGGAGTTTCACAAGTTTTCACAAGTTTCTTGTTCCTTAGTTGTTTCTCATCTATATTATTGATCTTCTTTAGATTCTTATTTACTTCCTGATAACTTTTCTATGATAGCGTTATTTGATTATGACAAATCTTCACTCCAAATATAAGCCTATTTTTATACACAAGCTCAAAAAACGCAACATAAATGTAGTTGGTCCTGCACTAGCTATTAAATTTGAGCCTCTGCCTGATGGTCATAGAATTGCATTTCATTCTTTCTTTAACAAATTCTACCATAGTTTCAGCTCAAGAAAGCTTTCATCTTTTATTCCATCAACCAAAACTTTTGCCTGACTAGTCATTCAACAAAGTGGCATGTTACTGTACTGTAACTGTTTCTTTTTGTTTCTTGCCTAAAAAGTTGTATCTAGTTTTTTTTTTCTTTAAACATTAATGGTATGAAATTCTCTTCTGTCCTTATGCTTTACTGACTTATAATGTATAATTTATATATAATTTATATTATATAAAAAATATATATATAATTTATAGTTTCTTTTTTCGGTAAACTGGAAAATTTATAATAAAAAAAAGTAAACATAACAAGATATATTTATTGCAACTGACAGCAGTTTGTTTAAAGAATGTATATTATTCTATTTTTTTGAATTGACTCATTTATAAGGTTAATGCATTTATAAATAATTATAATGCTTATTTTAATTTTTAATTAAAATAAAAGTTATTTATAAATTTTTTAATCTTATGAATGCATTTATAATTTATCTTGTTATGTTTACTTTCAATCAAATTTTTTTCTTTAGGTGACTTTTCTGGTTAAATACAATAATACAAAACATATGACAGTTAAATGAACCTATTTAGGTTAATACTTTAAAATTAGTACTTTGCAAATAATATATATATATATATATATATATATATATATATATATATATATATATATATATATATATATATATATATATATATATATATATATATATATATATATATATGTATATATATATATATATATATATATATATATATATATATATATATAAACATTTTTTATTATTATTAAATGTAACTCCCTTAGGCTTTTTTTAATATATATACATAGTTTTTCAACTTATTTGCAACTCACTCTCAAACTTAAACTCCAAAACACAAAGCATGTTACCTGAACACAAAACACGAACCTTGTTACACAAACTCTATTAAACACTGCGCTGCACATTAGCCTTGTTATCCCACTGTCTAGAGAAACAAGTTAAGCACTGCATTTATAGAGGCTTTGGCTAGATTTGAACCTTCAACCTCTTGATTGTGAGTTCACATATTACCAATATGTAAACTAAAGCAATACAATAGTATAAATATGGTTATCTGCCAGGCTTTGACTTTAAAATGCAAAACTTGTATTTTAAAAAAACTCAAGCCCAAACTTTTGGTTTTAGTCAAAAAAAGCTAAACAGATTATTTTTTATAAAAAATAAACATAATAGGTATAATATATTGACAGATTAATAAATAATTTAGAAAAAAAGATTTTCAGAAACAATTCAAGCATTTCTACACAATGCTTTCAAAGTACAAAATGTCAACATATCTTTTTTCAAGTAACAAAAATTTAGAATTATAAAATCTAACAAAAATTTAAAAATATATAATAAATTATCTTTAATACTAAAAATTACTTTGAAAAATAAAAATTATTATAAAAAAATTTAAAATTATATAAAAAATTAACACTATTGTATTCATTGTGAAGTAAAATATTTTGATTGATTTAAAAAATTACCTCAGCGAGAAAGTGATACCCACTGGAATCATAAGAAAATAGTGCATAAGTTTCTTTTATTGATTCTTTATTTTGAAATTGTATTCCAGTAATATAATAATTCTCATTGAATGCATATACAATGGAGTTTACTGTTGTAACATGTGACGACAAATTTTCATTACCAATTACTACATCATAAAAATAGTTTTGAAAAATTTAATTTAACAAAACTGCAATTTTACACTATTGGAAATAGCTAAAACATGTTAAGATACTAAGCACTAGAAAAAATTAAAATCTGTCGAAAATATATATATATATTTTATTAATCACCCGCTGTATATAATATAAGGTAAATTATTATAAAGTTACATTTTTGACAAGAAATAAGTTTTTATTTTGGAATATTTACTTCAAGAACTTCTTTGAATATTTTCTTTTGCTCCAATGAGTTCCGGAACTCCATTGCATAGCTTAATTTTTGAAGATCATTTTTAGGAATTATATTTTTTAACACAATAATTTTTACTTTTTTTTTGTTTGGGATTAAGCTCTCTATATTGAGTTCATTCCGATTGCATAGACCTATGACATCATCTAGAAAAGGGTGCTTAGCGGTTTGGTTTTTAAACTGCAAATTTACAATAATAGAGGTTGTTTTATTACTCAATATGTGAATAAATAAGTTTAACTTATTGCTTGGAAAATGCTTGGAAAATGCTTGTAAAAGCAAAAATTTGAAAACATAAGAAAATTCAGTATAGCCTTTTGTAAAAAGTAAAAAATAATAAAAGCTAACTAGTTTTAAGAATAATATATTTAATGTTAATAAAATATAAAATATACTTTAAAGATTTTTTTTGTAATTAAAAATTATAAATACTTCTTGAGATAATACAATTTAGCAAAATTGAAATATCATTTTTCCATAACTTATAATATTAAGAATAACTAAATCAAAAATTTTCAAAGTTTAGAAAATTAACAAAACTTGTATATAGAATATGTATACGCTTTTTAAAATGGTAACATTTTTTTTTAGTTCAAAACATATTTAACTTACACTCCACCTATGATATGTAACATCAAATTTGATTTAAATGTTAAATAATATGTTATAAAATGTTTTCAAAAATTTGGAAAAAACAATTTGTTTCCACGATCCAAAAAAGATAGCATATGTTTTGCTTGGTTGCACAGAAGTCCATTTTCTAAAAACCATTTTGTTACTACATTAACACATTCAGTGATTTTGTTAATGTTATCTTTTCCTGTTTTAATGAAAGTATATAATTGGATATTATTGGCATATTAATGATTTATGCCATGTTTAGCTGTAATAAAATTTACGTGTGAAATAAACATTCAAAATTATTCAAATTTTCAATTTCAAACATTTAAACTTTCAAACATTAAAAAGGGCCTAATACACTACCTTGTGGTACTCCTATTGAACTCACTGACAATTTAGATTTTGTTAAGCCTATAGAAACAAAGGATTTTCAAGAGTGCAAGTATGATGTCATCCATTTTAGTGCAATATCTGACACTAAATTTGTCTTTAGATTTTGGCATTGTAGAAGTCTTTCTTGAATATTTTTTTTTATACCTACAAGTTTGCTTGCAAAATATTAAATTATTGTTACATTTTGCTTTTGTTATTGTGTTATTAGTTTTAGGATGATTTAAATAAAGTATTTCTTTGGCAATAATCCATTTTTCTTTTTGATTACCATGTGCTAAGTTATGTTTTTCCTTATAATAATTACATCTGGATTAGTGAATTTCTTTCGATACTTCTCAGCATGCAGTTTGATATAGTTTTTTATCTGATAAATTACCAGTTTTTTTAGAAAACCAAATATTGTTGAGAGAAATGTCATCATAGCGGTTTATTACTAGATCAAGCAGGTTGGCAATATCAGAAATTAATGATATGCGAGTTAGAAATTGAATTTGTTGTATTATGTTGTAGGTCTCTAGAATATTAGCAAGTCTCAGATTGATAGTTGTTGGAGTGGTACCTGGGAAAAAGTCATCACACAGAAGCATTTTTCTTTACAATGTTTAAAGTACTTATAGAAGATTAGAGAATTCCAAAAAGAAAATGCTAGTTGGAATAATTGGCTAGTAGATAATAATTATAAGGGTATAATATTTAAGTTATCTCTGTATATTATTGCAACACATCTCCCATGATGGTGAGATTGACAGTGTTAAATTGTTTTGAAATCTGGTGGCACCATATCATCTTGAAGATATGGTGCAAGATATATAGATATATAAGCAAGATATATAGAGATATAAGTCTGGGTTTAACCAAGTTTTATTTTATTCAGTCAGTATAAAAATATCTAATGATTAATTTTGAGCTATATTATGAATGATGGCAGATTTCTTTATAACAGATTGTACATTTTGGATCCCAATTTTAGTGCAGATTGTAAGTTTTAAAGAGATTCTTTTAATTTTTTATGTAATTTATGTAGATTTAATTTTGATCCATTTGAGCTCACCTGATTGTATACCCCAATAGTATTATCCATTGTACACATTGTACCGATGCCTCCCATTTGTTCCCTCAATTTATAAGTAATTGCTGCATTTCTAGTGTTTCAAATTTTTCTGAGTTCACTATTAAACAACCTCTCATTTTCTATTTTATCATTTTTAATAAAAAATGTTTTTATAATTAATATTCTTTAACTTTTAAGAATTCGTTATCATAAAGTTTTTAGTTTCTTTTTTTTCCAATTCAACTAAGATGAGGTCAGGTGGTCCTTCTGACCTTTTGGTATGTTTTGTTAGTCGAATTATTCATTTAGCATTTTTTAATTGAAAAGTCAGGTTTAATTACTTTTAGTATAGTTCAATGGTTTGTTTATCATTTCTTTAATTTATTTGTTTGTCCATATTGGTTTGATCAGCAACTCCACTGATAATAATGTTGTTTTCAATTCTTTTTTTGTTATTAACTTCATTAGATATTTTAGCCATCATTGCCATTTTAGTTTCTTTTGGCTTTTTTTGAATTAATACTGCTTGTACATATGAGAATATTGTTGTGGGTTTATTTGCTGTTGTTGTTGTTGAGGCATTTATCTTTTCAACTTCAATAGCTATAACACGCTTTAAAAGATCTCAATCAATTAATGATATTTTGCCACACCATTTGCACATGTTTTTGGTAGCCTCAGCAGTTGCACTTAAACAAACTATTGAACTATACTAAAAGTAATTAAACCTGAATTTCAATTAAAAAATGCCAAATGAATAATTCGACTAACAAAATATAGCAAAAGGTCAGAAGGACCACCTGACCTCATCTTAGTTGAATTGGAAAAAAAAGAAACTAAAAACTTTATGATAACGGAACTGTCAGTTTGGTTCTTCTAAGCATTTATAATCAAATCCATTTTTTTGAGAGGACTACCACTCTGAATACCAGCGAATACGTTTCTCCTTATTATATAATTTAACCTTATTAACACAAATAGAACTGTTAATTCTTTGAGTTTCTTTTTCAGTGAATTTCGACACTAGCTAGTCTTTATACTTTTTAGGCTGCAAATCTTTTTAAGTTTTTGAAGTTTGCTTTTATCCTTTTTTCATGTAACTCTGTTATCAAAAAAAAAACTGTTTGAAGAATAATTATATTACTTGAATAAAATTTGTTATTTTAAGATTGCATGTATTGAGTGTACCCACAACATATTCAAAGTATGTATACAATTTACTGCATAATAAATTTTGTTGGTAAGTATTAAAAATCTACTTTTTTCTTAATTTGGTAAAAACAACTTTATTAATTTTTTTTAATGAAATCTACATCTTTAACTTTTAACCAACAGGGGACTAAAGTTAGCAAAGAAAATAATAATAAATAATGATGTCATTATCTATAATATTAGAAAAAGTAACACAACTTTTAGGGTTTTTACAACTTTTTCATACAAAATTTGATCTAGATGTTTATGATGATGACTTGTAGAAGCAATATTTTAAAGGTATAAAGCCCTATCTATGGGTAATCAAAATTCCAAAAAACTTTTGTTGAAAATTTGTTTTTAAGGATATAATAGTTAAAAAAATTTTAACTATTTGTTATACAAAACACTAAGAATGAGTGTTTTTTATAACAAATTTTACACAATAATGCAGTAAAAAATTTATAGTAATAATAATAATAATAATAATAATAATAATAATAATAATAATAATAAACTTTTAACAGAAACTTTTTTAAAAATCTGAGAAATGCCATAGAGCAAAACAGTTTTTTGCAGCAGTGCTCTGTGGTGCATCACTGCAGTAGTGCAGTGCTCTGTGGTGCATCACTGCAGTATTGCAGTGCTCTGTGATGCATCACTGCAGCAGTGCAATACTCTGAGGTGCATCACTGCATTCTTTTTTTTTTTAATTGGAAAAAGAAAAAGAGTTTGAACTTGTTTAAATCTTCTTCAGTCCAAATCATTTTCAATATCTTCACTATTTATTATTTCATTATCTTCACTATCTAAATCCAAATCTTTATCATAAGATATATAAAGACTTATTCATAAAGCCATTTAAGAAAATTTTGTTATAGAAAAAACTATTTATTATGTAAAAGTTAAAAAAAAAAATCACTAAAAAACTTTGTTATAAAAATATTTATAACTCACCTAGATAGTTAGCTTTGTGTCTCAACTTAGATCCTAGCTTATGCTTGTTTTTTTTCTTGATCTCTTTTAGGTAATTCAGGTCATGCTATGATTTCACTAAGCCTTCATACTTCTTCAACAACAGAACATTTTGTAGATCTTCTACAGCAGATCTATTATTTCACTAAACTTTGTACTTCATCTACAACAGATCATGCTATGATATCACATGTTTCATATCATACAAAAAGGTTCAACAAAAGGTCGTCATCTGTATGACACAAGGTCATCATCTATATGACACAAGGTCTATTATTCTCAGATTACTAAATATCATAATTTTTTCACAAACTAGGTTCTCGAGACCTGGAACCTAGAGATTCATAATTTCTAGATTATAGATTCTAGAGACTTTTTGCAAATTTTAACAATATCTTACTGAAGGTACAACTTGCATGCCATTTCTAAGTGGTAATAATATCAGATCAATCTACACCAATCTGATCTTATTAAATCTTTCAAGAAGAAGACAGAACAATTTGTAAAAAAAATTTTCTCTAATTCATCTCTTGAATCTAACAACTACACAAAATTTAAAAACTTAAAAAAAATTTCATAGAAACAAGCTAATCTATAGTTATACATCCATATAACTTCAGCTTCTGTTGCTTAAGTAATTTCTCACAAAAAATTTTTTACAGCACAAAGTCTAGATAAAATTCTATTCTTGCAAAGGTATTCTTCAAAAGATAGTATTCCATTTTTACAAAAGTATTCTTCAAAAGATAACATTCCATTTTTGCATAGATATTTTTGCTAATGACACAATTGTATATTTAAATCTTAACAAAAAGTTATAACTTTGAATTACTCAGAATAGACAGCTATTAGTAATCTGATCTTTCTTCTGTGACAGCTTGGGGATTGCATAGGCTGATGAACTCAAACAAAAATAATACATGCTTTATATTATTGCTTAACTTAACATTTACCCATTCGTGCACGTTTACGCAGAGCTTTTTACCATACTTGGCCTTTTATTTTTATTATAAATAGGATTTAGCATGCTCTTTTGTTTAAACTTATGAACTCACGCAATGAGGTACTTTCAAATCTTTATAATCTGTTAATATCTGCTTAATCAGTAATAAGATTGAAGACTTTGCTTCATCAGCGTAATTAGTAATAAGATCGACAATTTTTATTTGATAACTTCTGTAGTAAAGGATGAGTCTTATGTTATTTTTGAATTAGTAAAGTAACTTTTAAAGTCAGGGGATTTATTTAATTCCTGCATTATAATAATAACACAATTTAAGTCCTTTGTCAGTTGTATTTAAAGTGTATTATTTTGTAATTTTTGAACAAAAAGACGATGATGACTCTAGAAAACGTTGCTATTTTCAAGGTCAAACTCTTGATAAAGTTATTGTTTATCTCCAAAACCCTTGCATCTTACACTGTCAACTCTATATTACATGTTAAAAAACAAAATTGTTCAATACCTTATATAAAAAACCATAACGTTTGATTGTTTTTCCAAGTTGTAAAACATTTATAACGAGGTATGTCATTAAACAAATATTACAAAATAAGGTTATATTTGTAAAGTTTCTAATTTATATATTTTTTTAATTTATATATTTATTTATATTTATGTGTTATTATTATGTGCTTATATATGTTAAGATTATATAGGTTTATATTTTGTAAGTGTGTAAATATCTTTTATATATGAGTGTTTTTATGTTTGTGATATAATGTGATTTATTTATAGTTTATAAGTGGTTATTGTGTTGTTTGTATGGTTTCAAATTGTTGTTATTTGGCTTAGTTTACAGCAAGAGTGTTGACCTTGCTAGCCAAGTGGTGTACTTTGCTATAATATGACTTGTTTTTGTTGGGAGCAAGATGTTGTCCATCCAGTTGAGTTGTGTACTGTCATGATGAAACACATAAATTTAATCTGTATGTAGTCATAAAAACTGAAAAAATATTGTTGAAAGAATGTGTTTATAATAAAATTTGAAAAGATATATAGCTTTTTAATATCTATAATTTTTTTATTATTTATAATTTTAAATAAATTTTATTGAACAGATTTAACTTCTTTAAATATTTTTTAATACTGTTACTTTGTGAGTAAATTTGTTTAAAAGAACTCTGTTCTTTTTTGTTAACAATTTATACTTTTTATCATAAATTTTGATAAAAAACTTCCTTTTTACAAACAGCTCCTCCCCATTTAAACATTTAAAAGTCTTCATTTCCTTCATTAAATATGTTGTACTTAAAATTATTATTTGTTTTTTTATAAAGGTATGTGTACAATGTATTACATAAGTTTCTGTATAGAGAATGTCTCTATAATAATATTTTAATGTTTTATATATTGACCTTTTTTCTTTAGAATATTAAATATATAAGAGTTCAAGAATTTCTATATTTTCAATTTTCTTCACTTAAATCAAATATATGTGTTTATAGAGGTTTTCTATTAATAGTTTTGTTTAATTTACTTATTATTTGCAAATCTTGTATTAAATGTGTTTCAAAGTAATGAAAGGGATTTTTTGATGAAGGATTACATTTCATCATTTAATGCTAGCAGTATTTACTGAGCAGACAGGCCTTGTATTGTTTTCTATTTGCTTTATTTATGAGTTCTTATGTGTAAAAATTTTGCAACTTTTATTAATTACTTTTTATTGTTTTTTTTTATGAAATACTGATAATATTTTGCCAATAATTATTAATAACTACATCAAATATATAACATTACTCAATTATAAAGATTATATAAAATTATTTATAACTTTATTTTAAATGCTTGATAGAAACATGTTATCTTTACACATTGCTATTGTATTTTAAAACATTAAACTTAAATATGACTAATAGCAGAGGTAGAATATAATTAGATTGTTATATTATATTCTGTTTTATTGGCTTACACTTTATTTAAGATAAGTTAAGAAAGAAAACTTAAAGTTCAATCTTGAAATAAAAGTGTAATTTTTATAAACTCCTTTAATGCTTAGTTATAATTATAATGCTTTGTTGAAATTAAAAAACCAGTCTAAGCAAAATGAATTTAACTGTCGCCGAAATGAAAGAGATGAGCTTAGGCCAGCTGAGGTAAATTGTTGTTGAAATGAAAGAGATGAGCCTAGGTGAGCTGAAATAAACTGCCATAAAAATAAAAGATATCAGGATAGGCATTATAATTCCTTTTTTATCTTTTGCTTCCTTCTCAAATAATTGCTTTTTCTATTTTAAGGGTTTATGGGCAAATTTTGCATTGTGTTGGAAAACTTAAGACCTAAAGAAAGTTTTCTACCCACGTGTTGTCAGTTAAACATATATGATCCAAGTCATTTGCATTACACATGCATAACATTTGCATATTCACATGCATAAACAAGGTAAGTCATTAAATGAAAATTTCACAAATGCTATAATTGTAAATGTTCTTAATTTATAGTTTTTGACAAGTATTTTTACGTGTCATATGATGTGACAAACAACCTCATAAAGAAAGTTACTTATTTGTTATCTGTTTAGTCACACTTTTGAGTTTTCAAATAAATAAATAGAGTACATAATAAATTAATGTGTATTAGGTGTATTCAATAATAATTTTATTCCATTTTTAGGTCGAATTTCTTCTCCTATGACTGATTTTGAAAATTCCTACATAGTAGAATTTAAGAAATGTTCTGAATGTTGATTAATTTCAAAAAGCTAAAATGAAGCTTGATAATCTTTATACCATTAACTAAAAGATATATAATAATGAAAAAATGCTTCAAATTAAATTGTTTTTATAAGTATTTTTGAATATAAAATTTTTTTGTAGTTTTTTTTTAAGTTTTGATTTTTTTTAATCTCAAGAAAATGTTTTTGTTTGTTTCTCAAATAAATTTCTATATTTTTTATCTGGAATTTTTGTTTTGAATGTATATGTTACTTATTTTTGCTTTTTTTTTTTATTAAAGTGTAATGACTAAAATAAATTAAAGTGACTAAATTAAGAACTAATTATACAGATAATAGAAAATTTAACATCATCATCAGCACTTGTTTTTATAAATTTAACATCATCATCAAAATTTAACATCATCATCAGACATTGATATTTAACCTACAGGCAACATCAAATGTATTTAAAATTTTATTTTAACTTATTAAAATTACAATTTTATGCATTGTGTTGTTGTGTCTGTGAAAGATAAAAACATGATAAAATATTTTTAATTAAACTTTTACTAAAAATTAAAAAATTAAAAAAAAAATTAAAAAATTAAAATGAGTAACCTTTTCTTCTATATGATATAGCCAATTTAAATCCATTTCTATTGAAGTCAAAATTGTTACCACTTGCTTGAATTTTAGGTATTATGATAATACCTATATGTTTTACCAATCCAAAATATTTATTTGAAACTATGTTATAAAGATTCAACAAATCAAGACTGTTATAGCTTTTTGCATTAGATCCATTAAACAGAAAGGTTATGTTATCTTCATTTGAGAGATATAAAGCTGTATTTGTAAATAACTGGGTTGTGAAATAATACTCAAATGTTTCATGTTGAGACACTAACAAAAAGGCTTGTGCTAAAAAGTCTTTGGAGTTTGACCCAGACCCTTGATATGAACCAATGAAAAACTGAAAACTTAAAACTTCTGCATTTGATGGCAGATTGACATTGTTGAACAAGAAGAAGGTTGTATATAATTGTCCAAAATGTATTATTTCAGGCTCAAGAAAATATTTATCATCGCTATTTATATAAAAAGCTCTAGTTGGACGAAAATTGAGCTCAACATCATGAGATGAAAATGGAACTAAAAAAAAAAAAAAAACTAAAAATAATTTAAATAAAAATTGAAAAAATAAAAAGAAATTTTAAGTTTACAAAATAAAGAACTAAAATTAGGGTTTATATCTTTAGTTTAGTACAAAAGAAATAAATACTGTAAAATGTATATACATACAGCCATGCTCTCTTACAAGACATACTGCTATTTTATACAAAAAATCATAAAAAGATAATAAAAAGATGATGTCATGTAAAAACTATTTTGATAATTTAAAGACTTAGAGTTAAGGTTAGAGTCAAAATTAGGTACATCTAATCTATTTAATTTTTTACATCTTTATTTATGAGTTAGGGTTAAAATGATAGGATGTATTTTACTTTTTTTTTTTTTTTTATTAATTAATCACCTCCCCAAGGCCCGAGGGGGCCACTACAGTCGAGGAGGCTACTCTTTTTTTTTTTTTTTTTTTTTTTTTTTTTTTTTTTTTTTTTGTTGTAAATTGTGGTACAACCCTCTTTCAACTCTTTAACTCCGAAACACGAACCTTGACAAGCAAAGCCGCTGTACGGAGAAATTAAGTTGAGCACAGTACTTCCAGGGACGTGGTGGGAGTCGAACTCCAAACCTCTTGCTTACAAAGCGAGCGCTCTTACCACTACACCACTACCGCATAGTGAAACACTTTTGTATAGTTAGTTTCAAAGGATTCTTTTAAGTTTTTTTCATAGTAATTAGGCTTAACTGTAAAAGCTTTGATCTGGTCAAATATAATATAGCACTACTTGTAATGTTCTGTAGCTGGAGAAGCATGCCAATTGCCTTTAATTTTGTTTGTTCAATGTTCAGAACTAATGTTCAAAATTAACTTCTTTGATATTCTATTATAGATGCTACAACATGAATATGTAAATATTAAAACTCTGATTAATTTGCATAGAATTGGTATTTCAAACAAAAAGGTATTTCAAACAAAAAATCAGGTCAGGTAGATTTCAAACAAAAAATCAGGATCATCACTATTAACATGTGATCTAATATTACCTCCTAATGTTCTGCTCCATTGTATGATTAGACAGGGGTATTTTTAGTCATTATCTGACTAAAAATACCCCTGTTTTGAGCCTCTTGGTTTAGTTAAAGCTGTTAATGATGTCTTAATAAAAATAATCATCAAATGCATCCAACTATTGTCTTGTAGAAAGCCTTCAAGGAAATTTTTAGCCAGCCTTAAACCTCTTCTTTATCTATTGGGCTGATATAGGTGTAAACCAGTATTACATTGTTTTCTACATAGGATAATTTATACACAGCTTCTTGACTCTACTATTGAGTTTTTACTTGTGCCTCCTTTTTAGTGGCTATGCAATTCTTTCTGTTATCTTCTGAGTGTACAGAAACTGAACTTAATGTTTTTTTTTAAGAAAACTACCACAGAGTTCAAATTTGTTTTAATAAGTGACACTAAAACACCTCCATAGCTTATTTATTAGGTTACCACGCAATACCTATAATTGAGTCAAACTTCCTATTAACCTAAAGCATGAATAAAGTACTTGAAATTATTGAATATAAAAATCATTACTACGACTGAATTGTTTTAATCTATCAATTACAAGCATTTGTGGTCTTCGAAATAACTTTTCACCAGCTGAATCTTAACTCTTTTACAACTTACCAGACTTATGTGGTCTTTATGAGACTAACTTTAATTAGATTATTTTATCATTGAATCACGGTGTTGATAGCTACTATTCTTTGGTTTGCAAAGTCTTTAATAGTCATATGCATGGCCTAACCATATACTTGTGTATCAATACACCTATTTGTCATGAAATCAAGTTTAAATCCTCTGACCATTTTTTCATGTGCTTCTGTTTAGTACCTCTACCTTTTTAGTTTTTTATTGAGTCTGGTGAATTATATTTAATTGCTTACTTATTTGAAAACTTTTTGCTCTCGTTTTTTTTGCTCTCTTTACAATGTTTTTTCTGATAAAATTGACCAACCCTTTCCCTTTAACTCTCAATATTGTCAATACATTATTCAGATAGTACTACAACCTTAAAGCAAGGCAAAAGTCTTAAATTTACCATTTATTTAACCAATTTACCCTTTAGGGTAAATTGGTTTTACTTTTTCTCTTACTCTTACTTTTTTGCGGTCAACTAGTATTGTTGGTTTTAATGAACTGTATTAAAATAATTAAAAAAAAAATAAACTAACTTTCAAACATCAAAAACCTGATTAAAATATTATAAACATTAAAAACTTTTTTAAAACTTATTATAACTCTTGCTAAAATGCAGATAAAGATTTGCTATATCAAAATGACTTGCTATTACAAATCATATTCTCTGGTATTATTGGACATAAAAAGTCATTAGATTTAAGAGATTAATTAGAGTAAAATTTTTTTGAAAATAATTCTTATCTAATCTATAATAATCAGGCAAAGTCTTAAGACTTAAAAAACTAGAACTTTTCAAAGTAAAAGTTTTTCAAAGACTTTAACTTTCATTTTGAAAAACATGTGCATTATTTTAAAACAAAGCAGTAAAAATTATATTTATACTTGAGATACTGCAGGATATTTACATTCATAAAAAATATTTAAAAACAAAAATCAGATTTTTTCTTTTGTTGTATAAAATAACTTTCTTGATTTGAAACCAGTTTTTTTATTAACTTTTCAAAACGTGGAACAAAACTTTAATTAGTCTGTCTGAAAATTTCTTTTATTTAGGACAAATATAACTTCAACTATTAAAATAGCATAATTTTAAAATTAAATAAAAGAACAGAAAAAATTTTTTTTATAAAAAAAGATTTAATTGATCATTATGATCACCATGATCACCCTGTGACCATAATCACCAAATGACCATAATCACCATGATCAATCCTATGCCCATGATCACCATGATCAATCTTATGAACAATCTTATCACCCTACAACTGGTAACATGTAAGCCAAAACAACCACTTGTATATCCTGCCGCTTTTTAGGATTTGCTTTCTAAGCAAAGGCTAGAAACGAACTTTCTGTTATTTTACTATCTGTCATGCTTATTATATGCAAATATATATAATTGTTGTAAACTTATTTAAAAATATTTTGTTCTTTTTTTTTTAGACTGCACTCTTTTCAATGTTGTTTCTGATCAAATTGACCAACTCTTTCCCTTTATCCCTCAATATCGTTATTGATGGTGATTTTAATGATCACCACACTGAATGGCTTGGTTCTAGTATTACCTATATTGCTAGTTCTCAAGCTCAAAATTTTTCTTTGTTAATAGTAAACTTAGATAGTTAACTTAGCAAATAGTTTTTCAGAAAACACTAAATAACTATCTTCACATATTTATGTAGCCATAAGTATTCATTTATTTAAATGGCAACAAAAAATAGAATTCAACTCAATTTTACTTTTAATCAATTATGTAATTTTCATTGCTATCTAGGACCTATTCCCATCTTTTTGGTAGGTATTTTCATTAAGTTCAGTATCCTTTAAAGAAAAATATGCTTCTAGGTGAGTTTGAACATCATCAACACTTAAAAAAAATTCTTCAGGAAGTGTTCCATGGATCAGAGTAAATAAAAATTGGATAGTGTTATGTCTGGGAAATAAAAAAGATGTGGCAAAATCTCCCAGCTTAGTTAAATTATATTTTTTGGGGGTTCGCTTTACCTTTTATATTGACCAGACCTGGTCGTAATACCAACAATTGGTTGTGCAATCTACCCAATTGTTGTTAATAAAATTTATTCGTCTAATAACAATCCTTCATAAAATTAAATCACTTCTTTCTCTGCACAGAAGAGATGTACAAATTTTTTTTTATTAATTTCTGATATTAGATGTGAGACCCATATACCCTTGTCTGTAAATCTTCTTCATTTCATTGACCAAGTAGCCTGAAGATTATTTGTTATTTCCCGGATGCTGAGTTTAAGATTTGTTTCCACTAGTGCTTTTGAAGCGTTATTATCAAACCCTACCGGGTACCCACTTTGATCGCTATCAGAAAAGTCAAAATCATTACTAGAAAGTTTTCTAAACTAACTTTGGATTTATTTACATTCAATATGTCTCCAAACACATCACTAATTTTCTTTGTTGCAACGGTTGCATTATCACTTGATCAAAAATATAATAGCATGCAATGACATAAATGTTCCTTAGTTATTTCATTTTCTGCCATATTACAACAGAGTAATTACAAATTTTAAATTCACTCATCAAAAGTCACATGACTATAAATTATAATATTATATAATCAAACATTACACACTTAAAATAATTGATTACTAATGGTTTACCTAACATATATATATATATATATATATATATATATATATATATATATATATATATATATATATATATATATATATATATATATATATATATATATTTATATAATATATATATATATATATAAATATATATATACACACACATATACTCACACATATATATATATACATGTCTATGTATATATATATATATATATGTGTGTGTGTGTGTGTATATATATATATATATATGTATGTGTGTATATATATATATACACACATACATATATATGCAAAACAAACACATATATACACACACACATATATATATGTGTATGTGGGTACATTTATATATATATATATATATATATATATATATATATATATATATATATATATATATATATATATATATATATATATATATATATATATGTGGTAGTGGTAAAACGCTCGCTTCATAAGCAAGAGGTTCCGAGTTCAATCCCCACCACATCTCTGGTAGTACCGCACTTAACTTGTTTCTCCGCCCAGCGGCCTTGTTTGTCAGGGTTTGTGTTTCAGAGTTTTAGAGTTAAGAGAAGGTTATAACCACTATTAAGTAGCCTCCTTATCTGTAGTGGCCTTTGGCCTTTCTGTAATATTAGGAACTTGTTCAAGGGTTTTGAGGGACTCCTAAAAAAAGTTTTTTATTTAAATTTTTTTTAAATCAAGTGTTTTTT